TGAAGTTTGAATCTTGCACTGGAGATTGTGGCAAGAAAGGCTCTTACTCTCGAACTCTCTATTTGTTTTCACTGTTGCACATAAACCTGTCTGTATCTGTCTGGCTGTATATCTGTGTATGTATCTCTGTGTGTCTTTGTCTGTCTACCTGTGTGTGTGTCATTCTATCTGTGTGTCTCTTTGTCTACCTGTGTCTGTCTTTCTGTCTACTTGTGTGTCTGTCTTTACGTCTACCTGTGTGTGTCTTTCTGTCTACCTGTGTCTTTCGTCTACCTGTGTGTCTGTCTTTCTATCTACCTGTGTGTCTGTCTCTATCTACCTGTGTGTGTCTTTCTGTCTACCTGTGTCTGTCTTTCTATCTGCTTGTCTGTCTCAGAGCCACTCATTAAGAGTGTAATTGGTCTTGAAGACGCTATATTAATAATAACAACACAATAATAATCACTGAGGCGCATTAAATGTGTATAAAACGTTGATATAGACATTTTGCTTAATCCATCTATGATTTTTTTTTTCAAAATTATATAATAAACATGCTACATAACATATAAATTAACATATATGAGATGTTTTTCTGGTCGGCTTGACAGAGTGAACAGGAACCATTCGTGTCCGGGCTGGTAACAACAACAACGTTTGTTTACATAACTCACAAACCTTCTACACACTCATTCGTTTATTCATTTAATCTTGTTTACTCACCTCTCACTCTACATTAAGACTGCAGATATTTTAAGGTAAGTAATGAGTGGACACGATTATTATATTATAGCTTAATAATAATATTATTAATATTAGTACATATGTATTATTGTAATAATACATATGTACTATGTAAAGTGTATGGTAGAGTTATAATTGAAAGAATTAAGAGTAAGACGGAGAATAGGATAGCAGATGAACAAGGAGGCTTTAGGAAAGGTAGGGGGTGTGTGGACCAGGTGTTTACAGTGAAACATATAAGTGAACAGTATTTAGATAAGGCTAAAGAGGTCTTTGTGGCATTTATGGATTTGGAAAAGGCGTATGACAGGGTGGATAGGGGGGCAATGTGGCAGATGTTGCAAGTGTATGGTGTAGGAGGTAGGTTACTGAAAGCAGTGAAGAGTTTTTACGAGGATAGTGAGGCTCAAGTTAGAGTATGTAGGAAAGAGGGAAATTTTTTCCCAGTAAAAGTAGGCCTTAGACAAGGATGTGTGATGTCACCGTGGTTGTTTAATATATTTATAGATGGGGTTGTAAGAGAAGTAAATGCGAGGGTCTTGGCAAGAGGCGTGGAGTTAAAAGATAAAGAATCACACACAAAGTGGGAGTTGTCACAGCTGCTCTTTGCCGATGACACTGTGCTCTTGGGAGATTCTGAAGAGAAGTTGCAGAGATTGGTGGATGAATTTGGTAGGGTGTGCAAAAGAAGAAAATTAAAGGTGAATACAGGAAAGAGTAAGGTTATGAGGATAACAAAAAGATTAGGTGATGAAAGATTGAATATCAGATTGGAGGGAGAGAGTATGGAGGAGGTGAACGTATTCAGATATTTGGGAGTGGACGTGTCAGCGGATGGGTCTATGAAAGATGAGGTGAATCATAGAATTGATGAGGGAAAAAGAGTGAGTGGTGCACTTAGGAGTCTGTGGAGACAAAGAACTTTGTCCTTGGAGGCAAAGAGGGGAATGTATGAGAGTATAGTTTTACCAACGCTCTTATATGGGTGTGAAGCGTGGGTGATGAATGTTGCAGCGAGGAGAAGGCTGGAGGCAGTGGAGATGTCATGTCTGAGGGCAATGTGTGGTGTGAATATAATGCAGAGAATTCGTAGTTTGGAAGTTAGGAGGAGGTGCGGGATTACCAAAACTGTTGTCCAGAGGGCTGAGGAAGGGTTGTTGAGGTGGTTCGGACATGTAGAGAGAATGGAGCGAAACAGAATGACTTCAAGAGTGTATCAGTCTGTAGTGGAAGGAAGGCGGGGTAGGGGTCGGCCTAGGAAGGGTTGGAGGGAGGGGGTAAAGGAGGTTTTGTGTGCGAGGGGCTTGGACTTCCAGCAGGCATGCGTGAGCGTGTTTGATAGGAGTGAATGGAGACAAATGGTTTTTAATACTTGACGTGCTGTTGGAGTGTGAGCAAAGTAACATTTATGAAGGGATTCAGGGAAACCGGCAGGCCGGACTTGAGTCCTGGAGATGGGAAGTACAGTGCCTGCACTCTGAAGGAGGGGTGTTAATGTTGCAGTTTAAAAACTGTAGTGTAAAGCACCCTTCTGGCAAGACAGTGATGGAGTGAATGATGGTGAAAGTTTTTCTTTTTCGGGCCACCCTGCCTTGGTGGGAATCGGCCGGTGTGATAATAAAAAAAAAAAAAAAAAAAAAAAAATTATTAATTTAGGGCCCTGGAGCACAGATCCAGTGTACAGCACTTTGTCTGGATTATTTGGGTTATCCTAGGTAATTTATACTATGTATGATAACTTCACTTATGTGTACCTGTGTGTGAGAGAGAGAGAGAGATAGAGAGAGACAGACAGCCACATTCAGTCAGCCAATCACCCACCCGGCCACCCACTCACCCACCCACCCACCCTGCCAGCTACGTATTACACACGTTCCAGAGTTGTTTCTCTTTACTTAGGTTATAGGTTATACAACATTCTGGCAGGATGACACTACCAGTGGTATTCTCCCATTCCACTGTGTCGACAATACATAAAGATAACAGTAACATATGATACTGTATGCCATGTAAAATTTACAATACATACCACTATCATGTATACATTATATACAGTAAATAAATAATTAAAATATAACAATAGAAGTAAATTATGGTAAAAAGAAAGAAATAATGATTGCACATTACATTACAGTATTATGTAGGTAGTTTATATAGGAAAAGTTTGACATTATGCGCTACCCAGTATGTCAGCAATTTTCAAAGGTTCAACTTGCGTCCATTTTGACTTACGACCGGTTGGTCGGAACCAAGCTTGGTTGTAAGTCGGATGGTAGGCGTACATTGTTTAGATATGAATACTGGTCTGAGAGCCCGTCGTAAGTCCGAGTCGTCAGTAAATGAGTACGTCGCTAAATGAGGAGAGGATGTACACGAGGTGCATATCCCAGGAATTTATATAATATACATGTGTTGTGAATTGTCTGGTCTGAGCCCCTCGAAGGAGGTTCCCTGACGCTGGTGAGAAAGGGTTCTTGATCCAGGGAATGGGATATGTGCGGTTCCCTGAACTGAGCCTTGAGAAGCCTTTTACTCCTACAAGTTTAGCGCTCAACGTCTCGCCTGATATCTATTTTGAAAAGATAATAATTTTTTCACCTTTTAGTTATTTTTGTTATTTTTTTAATTAATCTTTGAGTTATTGGTGTTGGAAGTATCTCAATGGTACGTGCAGCTACAGTGGTACCTAGGTATATGTCCGCTTTGGAATAAGTCCAACTTGGTATATGTCCTGTTTGGGCGCGAAAATTTTTGCTCGATGTACGACCTTTGTTTGGAATACGACTCGTGTGTTAGAACATGTATGAGTCAGAATGACTCGTGACACTGCAAGCTACCCTTGTTTACCACTCTTGAGACAAAGCCATGACTGCCCACTAGTGTCAGTACGCCCGTTGCTACCATTCAGTGAACAACCCGTGCTGTAGCTCTGTGAATTTTCACGTGATTTTGTGTTTTTTCGTAAAATTTTTTTAGTAAATTCATTAACCATGAGTTCTGAGAATGTTAATGAGAAGAGCCAAGCAATGAAGAAAATGGTTAGGATCACCATCACAGTTACCTGTGATGTGGAGGTCAAACAGCAAGGCTGTTTGACCATTTCCAAAACATCCTGAGGAGAAGGCAGAAGCAGAGTTCTTAGAACAGATTGTTAGTAAAAGTCAGACCTGGTTAGCTTCACCCAAGTCCAAATAGGGAAAAGAGAAGGGGACTCTCCTTCCAAATAATAACATTTCCTCATCCTCCTCCCGTCTCGGCACTACCCTAGTAGGCACTCGACTCTTTTCGGCAAAGTAAAGTCAGGGTAAATTTGCATTTATTTCATCTAACTCCTTTGTATTTATGTATTTTAGTACAGTGGAGCCCCGGTTAACGAACTTTTTTCATTCCAGTAGTATGTTCAGGTGCCAGTACTGACCGAATTTGTTCCCATAAGGAATATTGTGAAGTAGATTAGTCCATTTCAGACCCCCAAACATACACGTACAAACGTACTTACATAAATACACTTACATAATTGGTCGCATTTGGAGGTGTTCGTTAAGCGGGGGTCCACTGTATTAAGCAGTGTTTAAATTATTTTATACAACCCCATCAATGTATAATTAGCCAATAACAATAGGATTTTTTTTTCATGGTAATAGATTAATCGTTTTCCCTATACATATTTCTTATGGGAAAATTCGTTTGGTATACATCCTGTTTAGTACAAGTTCAAGGTCCTGGAATGGCTTAAGGACATATACCGAGGTACCACTGTATTTATATTGCTAGGAAAGCCTTTTTGGGTAGATAATTGAGGTTTGTTGGCCATTAAATAGCATTAAGTGGCCCCATGATGGGACTTTTGTGACAGATGATCCTGTCAGTGACTCAGTTTAACTGCCAATCTATTTTAGTTTGGCCTTTTAGGACATTTTAAAACAATGATCACTTGTAGTACTATCCCAAGATAGGATAGTAATGTAAAATAGGATAGTAGTGCCCTAAGATAAGATAGTAGTGTCCTAAGATAGGATATTAGTGCCTTAAGATAGAATAGTGAAATCAGAAGATAGGATAGTAGTGCCTAAGATCAGATTTTTCTTTTCAAAGGTAATGCCAGCATATTTCTGGTCCTTGGGGGAGAGAGGGCCCTTGCTAGAAGGGGGAGAGAGGGCCCTTGCTAGAAGGGGGAGAGAGGGCCCTTGCTAGAAGGGGGAGAGAGGGCCCTTGCTAGAAGGGGGAGAGAGGGCCCTTGCTAGAAGGGGGAGAGAGGGCCCTTGCTAGAAGGGGGAGAGAGGGCCCTTGCTAGAAGGGGGAGAGAGGGCCCTTGCTAGGAGGGGGAGAGAGGACCCTTGCTAAGAGGGTGAGAGAGGGTCCTTGTTAAGAGGGTGTGAGGGAGCCCCTGCTAGGAGGGTGAGAAGGGGTCCTGGGATGTAATTCATTATACAAAATAGTGTAAAATATCTCCAAAAGGTGGACATGGTGGTGTTTAAATAACAGGAATGATATCTTGGTGTATCATAGCCATCAACACAGAGATAGCAATGAGAAGATAGCAGGGACGATGTCCTCTCATCATACAACAGTTAGGCAGACAGCTGCTGCCAGGAGACACACGACAGGTGTCAGATACAGCTGTGTTCCTTCACTGGTTGACTCTAACACACGCATTTCTGGAATGAAAACAATCATGTTAAATATAAACTAACAACTGTAGGGATAGGCAAAAATTGAGGCCTTTCACTACAGAGCTTTCATCAGACGCTTAGTAAATTTTGGTACTGCTGTGTTTAAAGCAAGTTATTCATTGAGCAGTTAGGTAACCATTAGTAAATTGATGGTGTTGGGCCCCTCAAGGGTGGTTCCTTGACACTGGTGAGGGGGGCTCTTGATCTAGGAAATTAGATCTGTGCTCCAGTCTCCTGAATTAAATCCGAATACCATCCATCCCCCCCCCCCACAGGCACTGTATAATCCTATGGGTTTAGCGCTTCCCCATGATTATAATGATAATGTTTGATGGTGTTGGGTCAGAGACAAGTAGAGCATTTGACACGCTGTAGGAGCGTTGTGCTGGATAAGGCGAACCGGTGAGTTTAACTTGTTCAGCCGGGGTGCTTTCTGCCGAATAAGTGGAATAAAAGCTTTGTCTTTGCTCCAAATCTGCAGGAATCAAATTGAATGTATTAATGAAACATTAATAGATTAATACAAGTGCAACCAGTCAGTGCTGCATGGCCCTTGTGGGTTTAGTGCTTAGTTTTGAATGTAATAATAAGCAGGGACGAATTTACCACGGAACTAATGAAGCTTAAGCTTGAGGGGCCCCTAATCCCGGAGGGACCCAGAAGCCACTCTAGTCCACATTCCCCTCAAGGCAGGTTCCTTGATGCTGGCGAGGGGCTCTTGATCTAGGGAATTGGATCTGTGCTCCAGTTTCCCGAACTGAGCCTGAATACCTTCCGTCTCCCCCACAAACGCTTTATAATCCTGTGGGTTTAGCGCTCCCCCATGATTACAATAATCTAGTCCACATTGTAGAAGGGGTTGTGAAGGGTCCCCATAACAGTTCACAATCTTCAGGATACCCCTTGTGGTTTAGCATTTCTTTTTGATTTTAATAATCACAATCTTCAGGGCTCCATAACAGTTGACAAGCTACAGGATCCCATAATAATTCAATTAGGGCCCCCCATAATAGTTCACAAGTTTCAGGGCCTCACAGTACTCGTATGACCCTTGTGGATTTAGTGCTTAGTTTTGATTATAATGATAATGGAGTGAAGAGGCGTGTACCTTTCTTAGTGGAGAAGTAGATAGTGTCCGACTCCGCCGACCATCCGTACTTGTTCCTGACCCTGACAACTGCAACATAGTCAGTAGCAACCTGCAGGTGTTGCAAGGTGTGGGTCAGCAATAACCTTGACCCCTGATGACCCACGTCGTCATCATCGACTGGTCGTGACACATTCTGCCACGACCCTCCAAATATCACTGACTGGTCACTCTGTTGGTACACAATAATATTAACAATACTACTACTGCTAGTGCTGTATGATCCTTGTGGGTCATACAATGCTAGTGGAATACCCTTTAGAGGTACAGAACAACCATGGGGGGGATAGAATGATAGCTCTAGGCCTTTCATGGCCTTGTCATCAGTGTCGAGGTTGGGAGACTACACTCTTCCATCTTCACATCTGCCACACTCGTCTTACTCGCAGGTATCTCATGGAGAGGCTCTGCTCCACTGTGAGAATTGTCAGGTTCCAGTTTTTGTTAGCTACATTCTGTTGGACTGCCCACTTTATCAACCAGCATGCAGAATTTACCTACAACGTCGCCACCGCTCTACTGCCCTTACTTTACCTTCCCTTTTTGCTGATGGAGCCTCTGATGATGCTTCTAGCACTCCCCACAGCCCTTTCTACCTCAACCTCTTGCGACCTTCTACCCCTGCACTATCCACTGCCCCACTGCACAACATAATCATCCCTCCCTCTTGCTACCCATTACCCCTGCATCCTTCCCTGCCCTGCTGTGCCGTATGACTCTTGTAGATTTAGTGCTGCTTTTTTATTATCTAGGCCTTTCGTGTTGTAATCATTGCAGCATCAGAAGCTTGCAAGTTGCAGAAAAGAGGCCAAGCAGATAAATGCCCCCAGGCACTTCCTGTCTCCTGCCTGCCTTCTCTCTCAAGTAAAGACATTCTAAACCATACCCCCGGCCGGGATTGAACCCGCGGTCATAGAGTCTCAAAACTCCAGCCCAGTGAAGGGACTTGAGCTAGAGTTCGTCACGGCCACGCTAGCTGGAGATTCGTCTGTAAAAACTTGCATTTGTGGTCACAGAGGTGCCTGTGCTAACTTTCCTATGGTGTAGAAATATACCTAGTTGGATGAATCTTATTGTGGCTAGCTGGTCTAGTGGCTAGCGCGACGGGCTGGAGTTTTGAGACTCTATGACCGCGGGTTCAATCCCGGCCGGGGGTATGGTTTATTTGCAATCGTATCATTACGATTTCTTAAGTCATAAAGACATTCTCTATGACTGTATCTACTTAGACATCCTCTTTTTCTGGAACTTGCAAGCTCCTATATGTTGATTGCAACACGACAGGCCTACAGCTATCATTCTATTCCCCCATAGTTGTTTTGCACCTTGTTTATTTGTGATATTTTTATCCTATAAGGGTATTCCATTCTCAGTTTATTTCGCTGTAATCTCTAGCAGCCTTCCCAACCGCTGACAACAACACTGGTCTGAGTTGATTTATAACAAATTATATTCCATCAGGCCAACAGCACTTATGGGTTTAGTGCTTTGATTTATAATAATAACTGACAGCAACAGACCTATTACACAACCTTTGATTATACTTCCTCTAGCATCGTCCTTACTAACCTCTGTTATACTCTCCACCCCTCGCTAGTCTCTTGATCAAGTATACCCCTCAAGGGAATTGGATCTGTGCTCCAGTTCCCCGAATTAAGCCTGAATGCCTTCCACATCCCCCCCCCCCAGGCGCTGTATAATCCTCCGGGTTTAGTGCTTCCCCCTTGATTATAATAATCTTGATCAAGTATACCCCTAAAGGGAGGTTCCTTGATGCTGGTCAGGGGCTCTTGATCTAGGGAACTGGACCTGTGCTCCAGTTCCCTGAATTAAACCCGAACACCTTCCATCCCTCCCCCCACCCACAGGCACTATAATCCTACTGGTTTAGCGCTTCCCCCTTGATTAAAACAATCCACTCTGTGAGAACTGTCAGGTTTCACTCCGCATGAATCAGATACATGATCTATGTCAAGTAAGGCAACAGCGGCACTTCTCCGCTCCATGGAATATTACCCCATTCCAAACTACCATTCCTCCATTTCCCCCCAAACTACTTCTTAAATCACAACCAAAACTTCGCCTTGAAGCCAAACATGAGGCCTTAAGCTGTATTGATAACTTAGTCACACAGCACACACTCTCGCAAATTATTTACGTTGATGGTTCTGTTCACCAATCCACTGGTGCAGCTGGTAGTGCTGCTGTTGTCGTACAGTGATGGCTCTCTTAAATTATGATTATTATTATAATCAAGGGGGAAGCGCTAAACCCGGAGGATTATACAGCGCCTGGGGGGGGGATATGTGGAAGGCATTCAGGCTTAATTCCCCTCAAGGAAGGTTCCTTGATGTTGGTGAGGGGCTCTTGATTTAGGGAATTGGATCTGTGCTCCAGTTCCCCGAATTAAGCCTGAATGCCTTCCACATCCCCCCCCCAGGCGCTGTATAATCCTCCGGGTTTAGCGCTTCCCCCTTGATTATAATAATAATAATCAGGCTTAATTCGGGGAACTGGAGCACAGATCCAATTCCCTAAATCAAGAGCCCCTCACCAACATCAAGGAACCTTCCTTGAGGGGTAGCTCTCTTAAAGAAACTGGAGCATGCATCAATAATTGGGCCTCTACCCTTCAGACAGAACTGTTTGCCATACTCCTTGCACTGAAATGCATCTATGTATCAAAGATTAACAGTTTAATTGTAACTGATTCTCTGTCATCCATAAATGCTCTCAACTCATTAAGCATAAATTGTGGCATGCTTGTGTCAGAAGCCAGACACAGGTATGGTAGGATTGTGGACAGTGGAGTCAGAGTGCACATGCTGTGGATTCCATCTCACATTGGTCTTCAGATGCATGATAGAACTGATAAATTGGCTAAGCTGTATGCTTTCAAAGAGGGAGTAGATTACAATCTTGGCTTGTCAGGTAGTAGTTTGAGAACAATAATACGAAAAGAACTTAAAATGAATTTTATTGACTTAAGACTTAGGGAGATTGACACCAGTGAGTCCATCTATCATCAGTCCATTATGCAGGAGGAGCCACATGTCTATGGTGCATCCAACAAGATTAGCAGACTCTTGGATGTCACTACTGCCCGGCTCCGGCTGTCACTACTGCCCGGCTCCGGCTGTCACTACTGCCCGGCTCCGGCTGGGTTACAAGTATCTTTGGCAGGTTAAATCACCACCACCAGATGTAGACCAAACGAAATGTAAACTTTGCCAGATGGACTGTTGTCACACATTGCGTCATTATGTACTGGAGTGCGTCACACCTTGCGTCATTATGTACTGGAGTGTGATCAAATTAATGAATTTAGAAACAACTCACTCAGAAATGTTCAAGATGTGGCTAAGTATTTTATCCACAGTGGTATATTACAGACCATTCTGGAGAAATACCCTGACTTTGCTAGCTGTAAATAAAGCATTACCATGACTTAAGAAATCGTAATGACACGATTGCAAATAAACCATACCCCCGGCCGGGATTGAACCCGCGGTCATAGAGTCATTACGATTTCTTGAGTCATGTTGACGGCAGTGAAGGGACTTGAGCTAGAGTTCGTCACGGCCACGCTAGCTGGAGATTCGTCTGTAAAAACTTGCATTTGTGGTCACAGAGGTGCTTATGCTAACCTTCCTATGGTGTAGAAATATACCTAGTTGGATGAATCTTATTGTGGCTAGCTGGTCTAGTGGCTAACGTGACGGGCTGGAGTTTTGAGACTCTATGACCGCGGGTTCTATCCCGGCCGGGGGTATGGTTTAAAGCATTACCATGTGTGTGTGTGTGTGTGTGTGTGTGTGTGTGTGGGTGTGTGTGTGTGTGTGTGTGTTGTGTGTGTGTGTTGTGTGTGTGGGCGTGTATTACATCCCAGGATTCCAAATGGCCTGTTATCCCGGGTGTAATGGGAGCAAAATAAACACAGCAGAAAAAGTTTAGACTTATATTATCCTTCACCAATTTAGAAAAGCAATATGTACACTATGTACAGTGATAAGTATAGTGCACTCCACGGTAAGCAAGGCAGAAATAGAAGCCACAAGATAGCAGACCGTGCTTCAACCAGCTCTAGAATGGGAATGACAAGGGCAGACAGGAGAGTGGTACCCACATAACCTCTGCGATTGCCAAAACCATCTTCTTATTGGCTAGAACCTGGTCACTAGTTGAACGACGGGGCCCCATCATCAACTCTTAGCAACCTGGTTCGCTGGTTGGGGGAGATAGCCTGTAAATGAGGGTGTGTACATGCGCCGAATAAAGGTTACGTACTCTTTGCATGCCACAGTGTGTGTGTGTGTGGGTGTGCGTGCTTGTGTGTATGCATATATTTGCACGCTCGTGTGCACATGTCCGTGCGTGCGCCCTCATGTGTGTATGTGTGTGCGTGCGCGCTCGTGTGGGTGTATGACCCACTTAATATATGTATTTATAACTCATTACAATTGTGACCAGGTGTGGACGTATCAGTGGTTCATTACTTTGTAATTTGCTCATGACTGTAACCATGTATAGGAGTGAGGCTGATTCATTACCTCTGTAACTTGCCATGATTGTGACCAGATCTACCTGGAGTTCATTACCTTTGTAACTAGTTCAGCTATCATAACTTTGGGGTCCAGTCCCTGGACCCATTACGTACCTCTGTAATGTGTAAATACCTTTGTAACTTGTCATGATTGTGACCAGACCTACCTGGAGTTCATTACCTTTGTAACTTGTGAGTTCATTACCTCTGTAACTTGCTCAGCTATCAAATCTTTGGGGTCCAGTCCCTGGACCAATTATGTACCTCTGTAATCTTTTGACTACCGCCCACAGGATGGGTATGGGGTGACTACCGCCCACAGGATGGGTATGGGGTGACTACCGCCCACAGGATGGGTATGGGGTGACTACCGCCCACAGGATGGGTATGGGGTGACTACCGCCCACAGGATGGGTATGGGGTGACTACCGCCCACAGGACGGGTATGGGGTGCATAATAAACATATTAAACTAAAAAAAAACTGTCGTGTCTGTCAGCCAGCACGCAGAATTTACCTCTGACGTCGACATTGCTCTGACACTTTACCTTCCCTCCTCGCTGACGGCCCCAACTTTATCTTCCCTCCTCGCTGACGGCCCCAACTTTATCTTCCCTCCTCGCTGACGGCCCCAACTTATCTTCCCTCCTCGCTGACGGCCCCAACTTTATCTTCCCTCCTCGCTGACGGCCCCAACTTTATCTTCCCTCCTCGCTGACGGCCCCAACTTTATCTTCCCTCCTCGCTGACGGCCCCAACTTATCTTCCCTCCTCGCTGACGGCCCCAACTTTATCTTCCCTCCTCGCTGACGGCCCCAACTTTATCTTCCCTCCTCGCTGACGGCCCCAACTTTATCTTCCCTCCTCGCTGACGGCCCCAACTTATCTTCCCTCCTCGCTGACGGCCCCAACTTTATCTTCCCTCCTCGCTGACGGCCCCAACTTTATCTTCCCTCCTCGCTGACGGCCCCAACTTTATCTTCCCTCCTCGCTGACGGCCCCAACTTTATCTTCCCTCCTCGCTGACGGCCCCAACTTTATCTTCCCTTTTTGCTGACGGCCCCAACTTTATCTTCCCTCCTTGCTGACGGCCCTAACTTTATCTTCCCTCCTCGCTGACGGCCCCAACTTTATCTTCCCTCCTCGCTGACGGCCCCAACTTTATCTTCCCTCCTCGCTGACGGCCCCAACTTTATCTTCCCTCCTCGCTGACGGCCCCAACTTTATCTTCCCTTTTTGCTGACGGCCCCAACTTTAGCTTCCCTCTTCGCTGACGGCCCCAACTTTATCTTCCCTTTTTGCTGACGGCCCCAACTTTATCTTCCCTCCTCGCTGACGGCCCCAACTTTATCTTCCCTTTTTGCTGACGGCCCCAACTTTATCTTCCCTCCTCGCTGACGGCCCCAACTTTATCTTCCCTTTTTGCTGACGGCACCAACTTTATCTTCCCTCCTCGCTGACGGCCCCAACTTTATCTTCCCTTTTTGCTGACGGCCCCAACTTTATCTTCCCTCCTCGCTGACGGCCCCAACTTTATCTTCCCTCCTCGCTGACGGCCCCAACTTTATCTTCCCTCCTCGCTGACGGCCCCAACTTTATCTTCCCTCCTCGCTGATGGCCCCAACTTTATCTTCCCTCCTCGCTGACGGCCCCAACTTTATCTTCCCTCCTCGCTGATGGCCCCAACTTTATCTTCCCTCCTCGCTGACGGCCCCAACTTTATCTTCCCTCCTCGCTGACGGCCCCAACTTTATCTTCCCTCCTTGCTGACGGCCCCAACTTTATCTTCCTTCCTCGCTGACGGCCCCAACTTATCTTCCCTCCTCGCTGACGGCCCCAACTTTATCTTCCCTCCTCGCTGACGGCCCCAACTTTATCTTCCCTCCTCGCTGACGGCCCCAACTTTATCTTCCCTCCTTGCTGACGGCCCCAACTTTATCTTCCCTCCTCGCTGACGGCCCCAACTTTATCTTCCCTCCTCGCTGACGGCCCCAACTTATCTTCCCTCCTCGCTGACGGCCCCAACTTTATCTTCCCTCCTCGCTGACGGCCCCAACTTTATCTTCCTTCCTCGCTGACGGCCCCAACTTATCTTCCCTCCTCGCTGACGGCCCCAACTTTATCTTCCTTCCTCGCTGACGGCCCCAACTTATCTTCCCTCCTCGCTGACGGCCCCAACTTTATCTTCCTTCCTCGCTGACGGCCCCAACTTATCTTCCCTCCTCGCTGACGGCCCCAACTTTATCTTCCCTCCTCGCTGACGGCCCCAACTTTATCTTCCTTTCTCGCTGACGGCCCCAACTTATCTTCCCTCCTCGCTGACGGCCCCAACTTTATCTTCCCTCCTCGCTGACGGCCCCAACTTTATCTTCCCTCCTCGCTGACGGCCCCAACTTTAGCACAGACTCCCTCTATGACTTTAACAGCAACCTGCTGTATGGCCCTTGTGGGTTTAACGTTAGCTATACTGCTACACTAATACTACATCTAATAACAATTAGGCGATGAGTGAGGTTAGTACTCACGTGATAGGTACCCAGGTGAGTCTTGCGGTACCTAATTAAGTACTCTGTGAGTGGGTAGTAGCTCTCGGTTTCCCAGGTGAGTGAGTACCTACTGCTGTCACCTTCGTTAGGTGAACTGTTCACCTGAGGTGGCTTAGGGAGACCTGTGTATGTGTGAGAGAATAATTACAAAACTGTATTGAAAGTCTGCATATAATCAATTATTTAAAGACAGGTGTGGGAACGTCAGTTACCTGTCATCTGAATGACGGCGTTCTTCTGGCCATGAACGTTCTCTGCTATACAGACGTACGCTCCGAAATCCTTCTCTGTAACGTGGGAGATCGTGAGTGTGTGTCTGTGGGAGTAAGTTTGGCTGCCGTGGGCGGTGTGGACGGCCCCAGGGGGCGGCAGAGGGTACTGGTTATACTGCTGGTGGTACTGGTAGTGGTGGTAGTAGTTGTGGTAGTGTTCTGTCTGTTGGAATTGTGGTTCTTCACCCGTCAAGTGCTGTTGCTTCTGTTGTTGCTGATACTGTTGCTCCTGTTGTTGCTGGTGGTCGTATGGGAAATGCAGCCGGGTGTCCATCATTGTATCTGGCAGGGGATGGCCGTCCCTGCTCCAAGATACCTCTGGAGGAGGAAGACCATGTACCACACACACAAGCTCCACGTTGTCTCCTTCTCCCGTCCGAACAATCGCCTGTAACATCCGATTTTATCGGCCGAAATGCTTGAAACTTTAACAAAGTTGCAATCAAACCATTACAAAGGAACAGTCAAGTTTTCAGAAAGTTCGTGCATGTGGAAAACTTAGAAAAATTAACTAAAGTTAGAGGGCCCCTTGAAAACATTAGCATTCCAAGATACTGCCAACTTAAAAATCTGACTTAGTAACTTAAAATTCTATTATTGCTAAGGGACTTAGTAACTTAGAATTATATTATTGCTAAGGGACTTAGTAACTTAGAATTATATTATTGCTAAGGGACTTAGTAACTTAGAATTCTGACACTGTTAAGCGCCCCTTAGAAAGTCCATCCATCACCTAGGTGTTGTATTGTATACCTAGGTGTTGTATTGCATCACCTAGGTGTTGTATTGTATACCTAGGTGTTGTATTGCATCACCTAGGTGTTGCATCACCTAGGCGCTGCATAACCCTCCAAGAGATCACAACTTCCCCTCTAGAACGTACATATATACTCACACGTTCGGTAGTGACTTCTGGAGGATATTCGACAGTGATGGTGACAGCTGCTGACGCTGGTTCACCTACACCATTGTCAGCAGTGCAGAGATAAGTGCCGTCCATGTGCCTCTCCACGGCCTCCAACACCAGTCTGTGACCCTGTGCCAGGAGATGCAACATAGAAGGAGCGCAACACGAGGGTATATACAAAGATCCCAGTGGAAATACGAGGATCCCAGTGGAAATACAAGGGCCCAAGTGGAAATACAAGGGCCCAAGTGGAAATACAAGGGCCCAAGTGGAAATACAAGGGTCCAAGTGGAAATACAAGGGCCCAAGTGGAAATACAAGGGCCCAAGTGGAAATACAAGGGCCCAAGTGGAAATACAAGGGCCCAAGTGGAAATACAAGGGCCCAAGTGGAAATACAAGGGCCCAAGTTGTAATACAAGGACCCAAGTGGTAATACAAGGACCCCACTGGAAGTATAAGGACACCAATGGTAATACAAGGACCCCAGTGGAAGTATAAGGACACCAATGGTAATACAAGGACCCCAGTGGAAGCACAAGGACACCAATGGTAATACAAGGACCCCAGTGGAAGCATAAGGACACCAATGGTAATACAAGGACCCCAGTGGAAGCATAAGGACACCAATGGTAATACAAGGACCCCAGTGGAAGTATAAGGACACCAATGGTAATACAAGGACCCCAGTGGAAGTATAAGGACACCAATGGTAATACAAGGACCAGAATAGATATCTACACAGTGTCACTACGTATGATAACTGGTACGAGGGTTGGAGTTCACACTCAGATGAACCCGCTGTTTAGACCAGCTTAGCCAGGTTCATTATAGGTGAACACTGTGTCTACCTGTAGGTGGTAGACATACACAGGTCCCAGACCAGGTTTTTCTGGAGATCTTCGGAGAACTAAGATGTACCACAGGTTAATACTGGACCAGAATGGACCAGGACAGGTTACTACTGGCCCATGACAGGTTGCTACTGGCCCATGTCAGGTTATTACTGGCCCATGACAGGTTACTACTGGCCCATGTCAGGTTATTACTGGCCCAGGTCAGGTTATTACTGGTCCAGGACAGGTTACTACTGGCCCATGTCAGGTTATTACTGGCCCAGGTCAGGTTGCTACTGGCCCATGTCAGGTTATTACTGGCCCAGGACGGGTTACTACTGGCCCAGGACAGGTTACTACTGGCCCATGTCAGGTTATTACTGGCCCAGGTCAGGTTATTACTGGTCCAGGACAGGTTACTACTGGCCCATGTCAGGTTATTACTGGCCCAGGTCAGGTTGCTACTGGCCCATGTCAGGTTATTACTGGCCCAGGACGGGTTACTACTGGCCCAGGACAGGTTACTACTGGCCCATGTCAGGTTATTACTGATCCAGGACAGGTTACTACTGGCCCATGTCAGGTTATTACTGGCCCAGGACGGGTTACTACTGACCCATGACAGGTTACTACTGGCCCATGTCAGGTTATTACTGGCCCAGGACGGGTTACTACTGGCCCAGGACAGGTTATTACTGGCCCATGTCAGGTTATTACTGACCCATGACAGGTTACTACTGGCCCATGTCAGGTTATTACTGGCCCAGGACGGGTTACTACTGGCCCATGTCAGGTTATTACTGGCCCAGGACGGGTTACTACTGGCCCATGTCAGGTTATTACTGGCCCAGGACAGGTTACTACTGGCCCAGGACAGGTTACTACTGGCCCAGGACAGGTTACTACTGGCCCAGGACAGGTTACTACTGGCCCAGGACAGGTTACTACTGGCCCAGGACAGGTTACTACTGGCCCAGGACAGGTTACTGCTACTACTACTACTACTGACCTGGTGATAGTATTGCCCAGAGGGTAGTGTACCATCCTGACGCGACCATCGGATACTAGGGACAGGATTCCCCCTTGCAGCACACTCCAGAACTACCCTACCCCCCCTAACAACCCTTTGCTCAGGGGGGACCAGGGCTCGAACCGCGGCCGCGTACTGCACCTCCAGGCTGTGTCGCAGGAGAAGTGGCGGTTCGAGGTCGATCTGGCAGAGAAAAGTGCCAGCATCTCGAGGCAGGACGTGGGTGATAGTCACTCCAGAGCCGTCTACTGTCACCCTGGCGTCTGGAGTCACTTTCTCACGGCCAACCGACAGTAGCTTCTCACTGGCACCATTAGCTGGCACTTTCTTAATAATTATCTTATTCTTGCTCTCTGAAATATAAATTCAATGTATATACACTGAGAGGTGTATATCTCAGTGTATATATACTGAGAGGTGTATATCTCAGTGTATATACACTGAGAGGTGTATATCTCAGTGTATATATACTGAGAGGTGTATATCTCAGTGTATATATAGTGAGAGGTGTATATCTCAGTGTATATACACTGAGAGGTGTATATCTCAGTGTATATACACTGAGAGGTGTATATCTCAGTGTATATATACACTGAGAGGTGTATATCTCAGTGTATATACACTTAGAGGTGTATATCTCAGTGTATATACACTGAGAGGTGTATATCTCAGTGTATATACACTGAGAGGTGTATATCTCAGTGTATATATACACTGAGAGGTGTATATCTCAGTGTATATACACTGAGAGGTGTATATCTCAGTGTATATACACTGAGAGGTGTATATCTCAGTGTATATACACTGAGAGGTGTATATCTCAGTGTATATATACACTGAGAGGTGTATATCTCAGTGTATATACACTGAGAGGTGTATATCTGAGTGTATATACACTGAGAGGTGTATATCTGAGTGTATATACACTGAGAGGTGTATATCTGAGTGTATATACACTGAGAGGTGTATATCTGAGTGTATATACACTGAGAGGTGTATATCTCAGTGTATATACACTAAGAGGTGTATATCTCAGTGTATATACACTGAGAGGTGTATATCTCAGTGCATATACACTGAGAGGTGTATATCTCAGTGTATATACACTGAGAGGTGTATATCTCAGTGTATATACACTGAGAGGTGTATATCTCAGTGTATATTCACTGAGAGGTGTATATCTCAGTGTATATACACTGAGAGGTGTATATCTCAGTGTATATACACTGAGAGGTGTATATCTCAGTGTATATGCACTGAGAGGTGTATATCTCAGTGTATATACACTGAGAGGTTTATGTGTCAGTGTATATACACTGAGAGGTGTATATACACTGAGAGGTGTATATCTCAGTGTATATACACTGAGAGGTGTATATCTCAGTGTATATTCACTGAGAGGTGTATATCTCAGTGTATATACACTGAGAGGTGTATATCTCAGTGTATATACACTGAGAGGTGTATATCTCAGAGTATATACACTGAGAGGTGTATATCTCAGTGTATATACACTGAGAGGTGTATATCTCAGTGTATATACACTGAGAGGTGTATATCTCAGTGTATATACACTGAGAGGTGTGTATCTCAGTGTATATACAATGAGAGGTATATATCTCAGTGTATATACACTGAGAGGTGTATATCTCAGTGTATATACACTGAGAGGTGTATATCTCAGTGTATATACACTGAGAGGTGTATATCTCAATGTATATACACTGAGAGGTGTATATCTCAGTGTATATACACTGAGAGGTGTATATCTCAGTGTATATACACTGAGAGGTGTATATCTCAGTGTATATACACTGAGAGGTGTATATCTCAGTGTATATACACTGAGAGGTGTATATCTCAGTGTATATATAGTGAGAGGTGTATATCTCAGTGTATATACACTGAGAGGTGTATATCTCAGTGTATATATACTGAGAGGTGTATATCTCAGTGTATATATAGTGAGAGGTGTATATCTCAGTGTATATACACTGAGAGGTGTATATCTCAGTGTATATACACTGAGAGGTGTATATCTCAGTGTATATACACTGAGAGGTGTATATCTCAGTGTATATACACTGAGAGGTGTATATCTCAGTGTATATATACACTGAGAGGTGTATATCTCAGTGTATATACACTGAGAGGTGTATATCTCAGTGTATATACACTGAGAGGTGTATATCTCAGTGTATATACACTGAGAGGTGTATTCTCAGTGTATATATACACTGAGAGGTGTATATCTCAGTGTATATACACTGAGAGGTGTATATCTCAGTGTATATACACTGAGAGGTGTATATCTGAGTGTATATACACTGAGAGGTGTATATCTGAGTGTATATACACTGAGAGGTGTATATCTGAGTGTATATACACTGAGAGGTGTATATCTCAGTGTATATACACTAAGAGGTGTATATCTCAGTGTATATACACTGAGAGGTGTATATCTCAGTACATATACACTGAGAGGTGTATATCTCAGTGTATATACACTGAGAGGTGTATATCTCAGTGTATATACACTGAGAGGTGTATATCTCAGTGTATATACACTGAGAGGTGTATATCTCAGTGTATATTCACTGAGAGGTGTATATCTCAGTGTATATACACTGAGAGGTGTATATCTCAGTGTATATACACTGAGAGGTGTATATCTCAGTGTATATGCACTGAGAGGTGTATATCTCAGTGTATATACACTGAGAGGTTTATGTGTCAGTGTATATACACTGAGAGGTGTATATCTCAGTGTATATACACTGAGAGGTGTATATCTCAGTGTATATTCACTGAGAGGTGTATATCTCAGTGTATATACACTGAGAGGTGTATATCTCAGTGTATATACACTGAGAGGTGTATATCTCAGTGTATATACACTGAGAGGTGTATATCTCAGTGTATATACACTGAGAGGTGTATATCTCAGTGTATATACACTGAGAGGTGTATATCTCAGTGTATATACACTGAGAGGTGTGTATCTCAGTGTATATACACTGAGAGGTATATATCTCAGTGTATATACACTGAGAGGTGTATATCTCAGTGTATATACACTGAGAGGTGTATATCTCAGTGTATATACACTGAGAGGTGTATATCTCAGTGTATATACACTGAGAGGTGTATATCTCAGTGTATATACACTGAGAGGTGTATATCTCAGTGTATATACACTGAGAGGTGTATATCTCAGTGTATATACACTGAGAGGTGTATATCTCAGTGTATATACACTGAGATGTGTATATCTCAGTGTATATACACTGAGAGGTGTATATCTCAGTGTATATACACTGAGAGGTGTATATCTCAGTGTATATACACTGAGAGGTGTATATCTCAGTGTATATACACTGAGATGTGTATATCTAAGTGTATATACACTGAGAGGTGTATATCTCAGTGTATATACACTGGGAGGTGTATATCTCAGTGCATATACACTGAGAGGTGTATATCTCAGTGTATATACACTGGGAGGTGTATATCTCAGTGTATATACACTGAGAGGTGTATATCTCAGTGTATATACACTGGTAGTTTACATTAATCAGTATTTTAGGTATTAAAGTATTCTTGACTGGTGGTGACCAGGTGACCTGCAGCCTTAATGACCCTGGTGTAGTAGATAGACTTTAAACCCCATTAACCAACCAACCAGTCTTAATGACCCTGGTGTAGTAGATAGACTTTAAACCCCATTAACCAACCAACCAGCCTTAATGACCCTGGTGTAGCAGACTGTATAAACCCAATAAACCAACCAACCCACCTGGTTTATCCACAACACAGGGGATGACAACACTCTGCCCGACTTCCACAGTGAAAGACTGAGGATGTGTCACGAAACTAGGGGGATCGGTCCCTTCACCCAGATAGTTGTAGTTAGGATAGTCATAGTCCTTCCAGTCGTCCAGGTAACCACTGGATAGTCCTGTGGATAGTACGATAGTAATTAGATGCTGTGAGTTGGTCAGTGCAACATATCAATCTTAGTTAAGTTGATTATTTATCAATATCTTAACTCAAGTTTAATGCAGTTAAACAAATGTGATTCTGACAGCCAGGCTGACAGCCAGGCTGACATTCTGAGTAGCCAGACTGACAGGCTGGCATTCTGAGTAGCCAGGCTGACATTCTGAGTATCCAGACTGACAGCCAGGTTGACATTCTGAGTAGCCAGGCTGACAGCCAGGCTGACATTTTGAGTAGCCAGGCTGACAGGCTGACATTCTGAGTAGCCAGGCTGACAGCCAGGCTAACATTCTGAGTAGCCAGACTGACAGTCAGGCTGACATTCTGAGTAGCCAGACTGACAGCCAGGCTGACATTCTGAGTACCCAGGCTGACATTCTGAGTAGCCAGGCTGACATTCTGAGTATCCAGACTGACAGCCAGGCTGACATTCTGAGTAGCCAGACTGACAGCCAGGCTGACATTCTGAGTACCCAGGCTGACATTCTGAGTAGCCAGGCTGACATTCTGAGTATCCAGACTGACAGCCAGGCTGACATTCTGAGTAGCCAGGCTGACAGACTGACATTCTGAGTAGCCAGGCTGACAGCCAGGCTGACATTCTGAGTACCCAGGCTGACATTCTGAGTAGCCAGGCTGACATTCTGAGTATCCAGACTGACAGCCAGGCTGACATTCTGAGTAGCCAGGCTGACAGACTGACATTCTGAGTAGCCAGGCTGACAGCCAGGCTGACATTCTGAGTAGCCAGGCTGACAGTCTGACTGTGAGGGAAAAGTTCAATAGATAGGAGTAGAGAGGGAGTATATAGTAACAATAGTTTGACTGCCGGCTGCTTGTTAAGGTAGGGTAAGTCTAGCTCCCGCTATTCCCGCCTTTTTTCCCCTCCCCGAAAGTGATAGTTTGACTGCCGGCTGCTTGTTAAGGTAGGGTAAGTCTAGCTCCCGCTATTCCCGCCTTTTTTCCCCTCCCCGAAAGTGATAGTTTGACTGCCGGCTGCTTGTTAAGGTAGGGTAAGTCAAGCTCCCGCTATTCCCGCCTTTTTCCCCCACCCCGAAAGTGATAGTTTGACTGCCGGCTGCTTGTTAAGGTAGGGTCAGTCCAGCTCCCGCTATTCCCACCTTTTTTCCCCCACCCCGAAAGTGATAGTTTGACTGCCGGCTACTTGTTAAGGTAGGGTCAGTCCAGCTCCCGCTATTCCCACCTTTTTTCCCCCACCCCGAAAGTGATAGTTTGACTGCCGGCTGCTTGTTAAGGTAGGGTCAGTCTAGCTCCCACTATTCCCAACTTTTTTCCCCCACCCCGAAAGTGATAGTTTGACTGCCAGCTGCTTGTTAAGGTAGGGTCAGTCCAGCTCCCGCTATCCCTTCCCCTCCTCGTTCCCCCCCCCCCCGAAAGGTGATGTGTGGGGCTCTGGTCAAACAGTAATCACTAGACTCACAGCTCCCAGCACTACTGTAAGTACATGCCTGCCTTGTATTCTAGTGGATTTATGGGTTGAAAGCTTCACTTTTGACAAATAATAAACTTAGTCCTTTCAGTCTTGCTCTATGTTGACTGTTGTAATAATCACCACGTCTTTTAGGTATTGTACTTATCATGGAGAGTGATTATTTAAGCAGTGGGTAACCTGTCTATCTTTCCAGCTTGGATGACAGAGAGGGTCACCTGTCAATCAACAAGAAGAACTGGTGGAGATGGACTACCATCCTGAGACGTCCCCTTTTAGGATTTAATTACCTGTGCACCTGTATGAAATTGCAGGACATAACCCATCATTGCAGCGGTAAAGAACCTGCTTTCCTCTCATCGGGATATAATACTCAAGGCTATACTGTGAAGAACTAGCCAGTGGGTAGTAACCAACACCTGCGACCCCCCCCCATCATCAGCAACGGCTACGATCTCAACAACAGTGTCACCAACACCAGACACCCCTATATATATTAGCGTTGAATTCAGTTATCATTTATATTTTTCATTTTTCATTTTCTTTAATGTAGGATTAATATTTCATATTTAAGTGTTTTATATTTTATATTTTCTATATAATAAAGTGTTTATGTTTGTCTGTTATTATTTCTTTTTCTATTTATTAATTTTCCTGAGGAGGAGCCAGCCTTGGTAATACTGTCTGAAGTTGTTACAGGGCTGAGTAAGTCTTCACACTGACATTCTGAGTAGCCAGACTGACAGTCAGGCTGACATTCTGAGTAGCCAGGCTGACAGTCAGGCTGACATTCTGAGTAGCCAGACTGACAGTCAGGCTGACATTCTGAGTAGCCAGACTGACAGTCAGGCTGACATTCTGAGTAGCCAGACTGACAGTCAGGCTGACATTCTGAGTAGCCAGGCTGACAGGCTGACATTCTGAGCAACTAGGCTGACAGTCAGGCTGACATTCTGAGTAGACAGGCTGACAGCCAGGCTGACATTCTGAGTAGCCAGGCTGACAGGCTGATATTCTGAGTAGCCAGGCTGACAGCCAGGCTGACAGGCTGATATTCTGAGTAGCCAGGCTGACATTCTGAGTAACCAGGCTGACAGGCTGACATTCTGAGTAGCCAGGCTGACATTCTGTGTAACCAGGCTGACAGTCAGGCTGACATTCTGAGTAACCAGGCTGACATTTTGACAAGCTAGTTGATCTGACAGCCTAGCTGACGTCCTGATAGCCAATCTGACATTATCTCGTATATATACACGTATATATATACGTATATATACGAGACAGAAATTTAAAATAGTTTATGGTGAAAGAAAATGTAAATTTATGGGGTAACAAATATATAAAAAATAGACCATTAATTCTGAGTTATTTTCCGTATGTGAGAGAAAGATAGATTTTTCTCTCAGTGAGGAGGAAGTAGACAGTGTCACGCAGGTCTACGATAAATGGTAGAGGTGGGGGGTGAGGGGGAGTAGACAGTGTCACGCAGGTCTACGATAGATGGTAGAAGTGGGCGTGAGGGGGAGTAGGCAGTGCCACGCAGGTCTACGATAGATGGTAGAAGTGGGGGTGAGGGGGAGTAGACAGCGTCACGCAGGTCTACGATAGATGATAGAAGTGGGGGGTGAGGGGGAGTAGACAGCGTCACGCAGGTCTACGATAGATGGTAGAAGTGGGGGGTGAGGGGGAGTAGACAGCGTCACGCAGGTCTACGATAGATGGTAGAAGTGGGGGGTGAGTGAGGAGGGTCGAAATGTGTTCTTTTCGATGTGTTTTGTGTTGTGTGTTTGTGTCTGTGTTCATCTGTCTGTGTACTCACCTATTTGTGGCTGCAGGGGTCGAGTCATAGCTCCTGGCTATGAATACTGCTGGGTCCTCTCTCTCCCTGCTCCATGAGCTTTATCATACCTCGTCTTAAAACTATGTATGGTTCCTGCCTCCACTACTTCACTTGCCAGACTATTCCACTTCCTGACTACTCTGTGACTGAAGAAATACTTCCTAACATCCCTGTGACTCATCTGAGTCTTCAACTTCCAATTGTGACCCCTTGTTTCTGTGTCACATCTCTGGAACATCCTGTCTCTGTCCACCTTGTCTATTCCACGCAGTATTTTGTATGTCGTTATCATGTTTCCTCTAACCCTCCTGTCCTCCAGTGTCGTCAGGCCAATTTCCCTCAACCTTTCCTCGTACGACATTTCCCTGAGCTCTGGGACTAGCCTTGTTGCAAACCTTTGCACTTTCTCTAACTTCTTGACGTGCTTGACCAGGTGTGGGTTCCAAACAGGTACTGCGTACTCCAGTATGGGCCTGACGTACACAGTGTACAGTGTCTTGAACGATTCCTTACTGAGGTATTGGAGTGTCTGTCTGTGTCTCTGTCAACATGCAACACTGTGCTGCCACACAGGTGTCAGACACCGGGTCTTCAAGACCTGCTGACACTCTCCTGAGTACTTCTGGTACTCTGGCTGCGACTTGAGTACCAGGAGTGACTCAAATGGCCTTGACAGACTCACTGTACCCTTGTCATAGTGGTATAAGAACCACCGATGGGTCACAACACGGAGAAGACCCGGGTCACGACGGGTCCTGCCTCGGGTCAGGACGGGTCCTGCCTCGGGTCAGGATGGGTCCTGCCTCGGGTCAGGATGGGTCCTGCCTCGGGTCAGGACGGGTCCTGCCTCGGGTCAGGACGGGTCCTGCCTCGGGTCAGGATGGGTCCTGCCTCGGGTCAGGACGGGTCCTGCCTCGGGTCAGGACGGGTCCTGCCTCGGGTCACGACGGGTCCTGCCTCGGGTCAGGACGGGTCCTGCCTCGGGTCAGGACGGGTCCTGCCTCGGGTCAGGACGGGTCCTGCCTCGGGTCAGGACGGGTCCTGCCTCGGGTCAGGACGGGTCCTGCCTCGGGTCAGGACGGGTATTGCCTCGGGTCAGGACGGGTCCTGCCTCGGGTCAGGACGGGTATTGCCTCGGGTCAGGATGGGTCCTGCCTCGGGTCAGGACGGGTCCTGCCCCGGGTCAGGACCCAGCCTGCCTCGGGTCAGGACGGGTCCTGCCTCGGGTCAGGACGGGTCCTGCCTCGGGTCAGGACGGGTATTGCCTCGGGTCACGACGGGTCCTGCCCCGGGTCAGGACCCAGCCTGCCTCGGGTCACGACGGGTCCTGCCTCGGGTCACGACGGGTCCTGCCCCGGGTCAGGACCCAGCCTGCCTCGGGTCACGACGGGTATTGCCTCGGGTCAGGACGGGTATTGCCTCGGGTCACGACGGGTCCTGCCCCGGGTCAGGACCCAGCCTGCCTCGGGTCATGACAGGTACTGCCAAACCTACATAAAATCTGTACATCACTTAACAAATAACACACTTCATCAGATTAACAAGGATTAACGAGGATTTACAAGGATTTAATGTGATTTAAACAAGCAGGAACACTGAGAGAATCTCAACTACTGAATGCTAATTGGGGATTTGTCTCATATTAATGTAGCTATTAGCGGAATTTTGC